AAGATATTTATTAATTACAAAGGAAAAATTAGTAACAGTAGAATTGAGAAACCCAGCAGATATCACATTAACCAAGTGATGAAGGTTAATATCACCAGTAATAAGATGTATCAGCGTCATATATCCCTGCTACGATGCACTGAGAAGGACACAGCATAATAATGTCTGTAATACATATTCTTGCCCCAAATGCATAACCTCAGTCTAATCATGAGAAAACATTAAGCAAACCCAACTTGAGGGAGATCTACTAAATACCTGATTACTAATCTTCAAAAAGTATCAAGGTCACAAAAGATAAGACTTGAGGAACTGTCATTGATTGGAAGAGACTTAAGGAAACATAATGAATGCAGCATGAAATTCGGGATTGGATCCTGAAATGTAAAAAAGCCATTGGTGGAAAAAGTGGTAAAATCCAAATAAAGTTGATAGTTTGGTTAATAGTATTGTGCCAATGTTAATTTCTTAACTTTAACTAAGTTTATGTTAGATGTTAATATTAGGGGAAGCTAAGTGAAAGGCATATGGGAACTTTTTGTAGTATTTTTGCAACTTTTCTATAAGCCTAAAGTTATTCCAAAATAAAAAGTTTTTTAAAGTAATTTTAAAAGTTATATGATTGAGGGGATTTATAGAGCTCTGGCTAAAAGGGTAGGCTTTGGAGGAAGATTACTTGGACTCTAATCCTGGCTCTGTCACTTATTAGCCGTGTGACTTTGAGTGAGTCACTTAACTTCTCTTTGCATCATCAGTTTCATCATCTATAAAATGTAAGGATTAAGGAAGATAATAATGTAAAATGTGTAAGTTAGTGCATGGTACATTGTCAGTGCCAAAAGAGAGTAAAATTAGAATGAACATTTAAGATAAAATATTGGGCTGCTATTTAGGCTCCATCTTCCAGATCTACTGGATATTTGATTAAATGAAAAATTTTGAGAAAAACCTCTCCAGATAGACTGAGTTATAGTTCTTAGCCTTCCTGATTAACTGTTGAGGAGTCTCCCAACTGCTTGGAGGCCCCAGTAGAATTTAAAGCTACTGGCAAAGTAGCTACAGGGACCACCCAACTCATTGGCATCTCCTTAATAAGCTTTGTGGGTATACATATGTATGGCAAATTAGTTACTCCTAATGTCTTTTATTCAAGGGTTGTGCATCTAGAAAGTGTTTAGTAGTTATGACTTGCTAATGGTATATTGGTTACTTTATGTCAGGACTTCGGGATATGGGAACGTGGAGACAAGACCAACCAAGGGATCTCAGAATTGAATGCCAGTTCAGTTGGAATGGCAAAGGTAATTTTCCTTTCTTGCTTATACTAAGTATGGGAAAAGGAAGTATGCTGTCCGTTTGTCATAGATAAAACTTAATGTGAGTGTGGACCATAATCAAATTAATTATTATTTTACACAGGCAAAATTCAGATTTTCCTGTAGAACCGTGGATATGTAGATGAAAACTTTCATAAGCTGCAGATTTGATATCCAACTGTTTTTGTGGCATGTCTCTACTTATACTATATCCTATAAGGACTTGAAAGGACTTAAACTAAATTTATCATCTCTAACATTACAAAAACAAGCAAAAGAAGGCTTTTATTTCTTCCATTTACCAGTTGACCAAGCTTTATATCAAGGAACCGTCTCTCAATCCTCTATCCTCTTTATTCTCCTGCATCCCCCAAAATCATCATCATCATCATCAGCAGCAGCAGCAGCAGCAGCAGCAGCATTACTGTTCAACTTGGCTCTACCTTTTCATCCTACCCACTCTTCTCTGGAAACAGCAAGAAGGCATACAATACGATAGCAGAAATAGGATCAAACGTACCCATTATGAGAAATATACATGACTTAGTCTCCCCTACTAATACGTAAAGGCATAGATTGATTTTTAAAAATAAAAGGAGAGCCAATATATGCTGTCTATAAGAGCTCTAATATAACAAAATGAAACAGAAAGATTAACAACAGAAGGATGAGCAAAATACAGTCTGACAAACATAAAAAAGAGCTAGGGTGACTATGTGAATGTCAAATGAAGTAGAATTCAAAGTAAAAAATATTACATGGAACAAAGACGACAAAGGGAGTCACAACCAAATTTTATTTTATTTTATTAATTTTTGTTATTATTATTTTGAGATGCAGTGTCACCCCGTCATCCAGGCTGGAGTGCAACACCACAATCTCAGCTCACTGCCACCTCCACTTTCCGGGTTCAAGCGATTCTCCTGCCTCAGCCTCCTGAGTAGCTGGGATTACAGGCGTGCACCACCACACCCAGCTAATTTCGTTTTGTATTTTTAGTAGAGACAGGGTTTCACCATGTTGGCCAGGCTGTTCTTGAACTCCTGATCTCGTGATCTGCCCACCTTGGCCTCCCAAAGTGCTGGGATTACAGGCATGAGCCACTGTACCTGGCCTACAATAGAATTTTAAAAGGCACAACTCATAATGAGAATGTCTGTTCTAGAATATAGTTTTAATTAATACAGACATATTAGAAACACAAGGTAAAACAGAAACAATTATAAGGAAATAATTTAACAAAAATACTGCTCAGCCATGACACATGCAGAAATAAGTTTATAGAAAATTTGATTTACATAATTTATACAATTGAATTGGTAAATATATATGGAACTTTGTGCCTATAAAATATTTATCCCTTGGTAAAGTTTTTACATATTTAATGTATTTTAAATTACCCAAGTAGTATAGATATTTTTTAGAGTTCGTACTATACCTACTTCTATGTAACCTGATTTTTTCATTCAACAATCTTTTTTTTTTTTTTTTTTGGAGATTGAGTCTTGCTCTGTCGCCCAGGCTGGAGTGTAGTGGTGTGATCTTGGCTCACTGCAACCTCCACTTCTGGGTTCAAGAGATTCTCCTGCCTCAGCCTTCTGAGTAGCTGGGACTACAGGCCTCTGCCACCACACCCAGCTAATTGTTTTGTATTTTTAATAGAGACAGGGTTTTGCCATGTTAGCCAGGCTGTTCTTGAACTCCTCACCTCAGGTGATCCACCCACCCGGCCTCCTACAGTGCTGGGATTACAGGCGTGAGCCACCATGACCGGTCTAACAATCTTATAGTGCACTGAACAATGTAATCAAACATCCTTCCATGTCATTTCATGCAGACAAATTTAGTTCATTCTTTTCAGCTGCTATACAGTATTTAATAATTGTTCCATTGACAGAATGGTCTTTATTTTTTAATATTCCAGAAAAGGCTTTAGTGAAGATCCTTGTACATACACCTAGGTAAATTTACACAAACATTTTTATGGGAAAAACTTCTAAAAGTGAAACCCTTAGATTAAGGGATATATGCTTTAAAATTGCCCTTCAAATAAATTTCTATTAGTTTACATTTCCCCATCCTCATATGATGGATATATGCCATTATATACCATAGATGTCATTTTTCTTTTGTTTTTATCAACAGCTATTTCTTTTGTGAATAAAAGTGTTTGACAGAGAAATACTGTTGGAAACAAACATTGAGAACATGTTATTACAATCTATTTCTTTTTGCACTGGTACTTATTATTACAAGTTTACATATAGAGCTTTTTTGCCATTTTTCTCAAACCCTCACTAACTGGATATTATCAATATTTTTGTATATTTGATTTAAAGTGTTTTACCACTTAAATTTTTTTACTTTTTATTTTGTAATCATTTCTGACTTAAAGTTACAATAATTTTACAAATAATTCCTATGTAGTACCCTTCACCCAAGTTCCCCACTTACTAATATTTGCTTTATCTTTTTCTCTGATTAAACACGACACACATACACAATTATTTTTTTCGAACCAGTAGACAGTATATTGCAGACATGATGCTCCATTACTCCTAAATATTTCAGTGTGGATTTCTTCAAAGACTCTTTTATAACCATGGTATAAGCATCAAAATCAGGAAATGAACACTGGCATTATACTGCCACCTTAATTGACATAGCCCATTCGAATTTATTTAGTTGTCCCAATAATGTGATTTATAGCCAAAAAAAAAAAAAAAATCTTGTGATCCAGGATCCAGTCTAAGATAACATATTACATTTAATTGTAATGTCTCTTTAGGTTTCTTGAGTCTGGAACAGTGCCTCAGTCTTTACTTGTCTTTCATGATCTTAGCATTTTTAAAGAGTACAGGCCAGCTATTTTATAGAATGTTCCTTGATTTGATTTCATGTGATATTTCCTCACAATTACATTTAGGTTATGTGTTTTTGGGAAGAATACCACAGAGGTGAGTCTGTCTCCTTACTTTATCATCAGGAAGCACATGATGTAAATTTGTCCCATTACTGTTGATGTTATTTTTTATGACTTCACTAAAGTGATATCTGCCAGGTTTCTCCACTATAAATTTTCTGTTTTCCTTCTGTGATTGCTGACTTGAATGTTTGTGGCCACCCCCCTCACCAAAATTCATATTGAAACTTAATTCCCAATGTAGCAGTATTGAGAGGTGGAACCTTTAAGCTGTGACTGGATCATGTGGGTTCTTCCCTCATGAATGCATTAATCCATTCATGGATTAATGGATTAGTGGGTGATCATGGGAATGGGTCTGGTGGCTTTATAAGAAAAGGAAGAGACACTTGAGCTAGCACACTCAGGCTCCCTCATCATATGATACCCCATTCCACCTCAGGACTCTGCAGAGTTTCTACCAGCCAGAAGCCCTCACCAGATGGGACCCCTTGACCTTGGACTTGCCAGCATGAAGGGGAGCCAGGTGCTGTTCCTCAAGACAATGGAAGAAAGACCCTAAAGGCATTTCAGAGATCTTAGATGCTGCCTTTTCCATCACAGGTCCAAAGGCTTAGGAGGGCAGAATAGTTTCAGGGGACAAGCCTGGGGTGTTCTTTATGGGCTGTGCCCAGGACTGCCTTGGGACTCTACTCCCTGCACCCCTGCTGCAGCACTCACTTAGCTTGTGCCACCACCCCAAAAGGTCTAAGTGATAAACCTTGAAGGTATCCATGTTGTGTTAATTCTGCAGGCCCACAGGGTGTAAGAACTACGGAAGCATGACAACTTCCACCTGGATCTCAAAGGATATATCAAACAGCTTATGGGCCCAGGCAGAGACTCCTCAGAGGGATGGAACCACCACAGGCAGCCCCTGCTCGAGCAACACTCAAGCAGAAACATGGGGTTGCAGCTGCCACAGAGAGTTCCCATTAGGGCAGGACCACTACCGGAATGCCAGAACTGTAGGTTCACTGGCAGCAAGCAAGGTCTGCCTGCACCCAACAAAGCCATAGGGGCAGGGCTGCCTGAGACCTTAGAGACCCAACCCGTACCCAATCATGGAGTCAAAAGAAATTATTCTTCAGCTTTCAGATTTAATGTCTGCCATGCTCAGTTTAAGACTTGCTTTAAGCCTGTTACTCCTTTCTTTTTGCCTATTCCTGTCTTTGGGAATGTCTGTCTTATACCACCATTGTATCTTAAAAGTTGATAGCTTGTTTTGATTTCAGATTCACAGATGAGATTTTGGACTTTTGAGTTTTATCCTTGGTGCTGGAATGAGTTAAGATATTGGAGCTATGGGGTTAGAATGAATGTACTTATATGTGAGAAGGACATGAGTTGGGGGGGCGGCAAGGAGTGGAATACTAAGGCAGTAATTAATGAGTATTTTGTGCCTGGCCAACTTCTACTTACCCTATAGGTCTCAGTTTAGGTGTCATTTCTTCAGGGAAGACTTTCAAAACTTCCACCCCTAAGACTACGTCAAGTCTGTCTCCTAATTGAGGAATTAAAGATAACTAATAAATACTTGAAATAATATTCAATCTTGTTAGCAATTTAATGCATGTGAATGCAACAGATATACCATTTTTATCACATTAGGAAAAAATTTTAAGATAATACATTGTTTGCATTAAGGAAGGTATTGTCATATACTGCTAGTGATAGCTATGTTGGTACAACTTGCAAGAAAAGCAGTTTAGCATTACGTTTTAAAAGTTATTCATACTTTTTTACCCAATTATTCTATTTCAGGGAATCGATGCTTACAAAATAACTCAAAATGAATACAAAGAGTTATTTTGTTAGCTTGACAACCTTTATTGAGAGCCTACCATGTCCCATGCTGTGTGCTAGATGTTAATGAAGACATAATCCCTGACTTCAAGGAATTTATAATTTAGCAAGAGATGTTTATCAAAGTTCTGTTACTAATAGCACAAAATTAAAGGCAACCCAAATTTCCAACAATTGGTAAATGGCTAAGTATACTTTATTATATCCATATGAGATAATACTATGCCAAAATAGTGTTTGTAACATGGAAAGATACTTATGCTATATTATTAATTGTAAAAAGTAGGATACCAGATGTGATCTCAACTGTATACAAATAGACATAGAAAAAAACTAATAAAAAACATGTCAAAAATGTTAAAAGTGGTTGTTTTGGGTGATTTTCTTGCCCCCTCTGTACTTTACTATGTTTTCAAAATATTGTATAAGGAGTGTGTTTTACTTTTATGATCAGAAAATATATTTAGAAAAGCAAGAAATTAATAAATTCTGTTTTTAAAAAACATGATATCTCATTTATATGTGGACTCTAAAGAAGTCAAACTCATTGAAGGAGAGAGTACAATGATGGTTAAGTATGATGCTTAACTTGATAGTGCTACAAATTCCTTCTTAACTTTCTTTGATACAATATGGGAGACAAAGAAAAACTCAGAATGTCCTGGGAATAAAGATTGTTACTGTATTATGTATTCTGTCAGATATATTAAAAAATGATGTCATATGTGTTGATAAGATACTGGGATATAGGGAGAAGAAATGTATATCTTTCTAATGCTAAACTTGTCCTTTTCTTTCTTGCTCCTCGCAGGCAGCCCTGGAAGCATTAGATGAACTGGATCTGTTTGGTGTGAAAGGTGGGCCCCAATCAGTTATCCATGTCCTGGCTGATGAAGTACAACATTGCCAGGTAAGAGATTAGGGAAAATGAAAATAATAAATTTTATTCTTGCCCAGACTCAGATTTAAGCATGAGCTTTAGATTAAGGAGGGCTGAATGAGAGAGAGTGCATCATCTGATTAATTACCATGTACCAAAAATATCTTTGGCAAGCATACTGTACTGAGATAAGCCTAATATAGCATGGGCTGTAAAACAGATCATAATCCTGTTCTCTAGCCCAAGATTATAAAGGAATCCCACCATACTATATGAAATTATCCACCACTATCATATCAAAGGGATATAGTCTCTCTTTCTGAGTATCTCCTTTTCTAAATATATAAAGAAAATAAGAGATGATAGATTTTTAGTATTCTTGTTAGTGTTTCTGAAACATTCTCTTTTCCTGGTTGGCTCTAGGGTTAGATATTTGGAGATTAGACTTCAAGTGGCAAATATATATTTTCAGTTTCGCTTAGGAATACTCTCTGTGAGGACACAAACAGATGGAGAAACATTCCATGTTCATGGTTAGGAAGAATCAATGTTGTGAAAATGGCCATACTGCCCAAAGTAATTTACAGGTTCAATGCTATCCCCATCAAGCTACCAATGACCTTCTTCGCAGAACTGGAAAAAACCACCTTAAACTTCATATGGAACCAAAAGAGAGCCCGCATAGCCAAGTCAATTCTAAGCAAAAAGAACAAAGCGGGGGGCATCACACTACCGGACTTCAAACTATACTACAAGGCTACAGTAATCAAAACAGCATGGTACTGGTACCAAAACAGAGATATAGACCAATGGAACAGAACAGAGGTCTCGGAGGCAACACAACATATCTACAACCATCTGATCTTTGACAAACCAGACAAAAACAAGCAATGGGGAAAGGATTCCCTGTTCAATAAATGGGGGGTTGGGAAAGCTGGCTAGCCATGTGCAGAAAGCAGAAACTGGACCCCTTCCTGACACCTTACACTAAAATTAACTCCAGATGGATTAAAGACTTAAACATAAGACCTAACACTATAAAAACCCTAGAAGAAAATCTAGGCAAAACCATTCAGGACGTAGGTGTAGGCAAGGACTTCATGACCAAAACACCAAAAGCATTGACAACAAAAGCCAAAATAGACAAATGGGACCTAATCAAACTCCACAGCTTCTGCACAGCAAAAGAAACAATCATTAGAGTGAATCGGCAACCAACAGATTGGGAAAAAATTTTTGCAGTTTACCCATCTGACAAAGGGCTGATATCCAAAATTTACAAAGAACTAAAGCAAATTTACAAGAAAAAAACTAACAAGCCCATTCAAAAGTGGGCAAAGGATATGAACAGACACTTTACAAAAGAAGACATACGTGAGGCCAACAAACATATGAAAAAATGCTCATCATCACTGGTCATAAGAGAAATGCAAATCAAAACTACATTGAGATACCATCTCACGCCGGTAAGAATGGCAAACATTAAAAAATCTGGAGACAGCAGATGCTGGAGAGGATGTGGAGAAGTAGGAACACTTTTACACTGTTGGTGGGAGTGTAAATTAGTTCAACCATTGTGGAAGACAGTGTGGCGATTCCTCAAGGACATAGAAATAGAAATTCCATTTGACCCAGCAATCCCATTACTGGGTATATATCCAAAGGATTACAAATCGTTCTACTATAAGGACACGTGTACACGAATGTTCATTGCAGCACTGTTTACAATAGCAAGGACCTGGAACCAACCCAAATGCCCATCGACGATAGACTGGATAGGGAAAATGTGGCACATATACACCATGGAATATTATGCAGCCATCAAAAACGATGAGTTTGGGTCCTTTGTGGGGACATGGATGAACCTGGAAACCATCATTCTCAGCAAACTGACAGAGGAGCAGAAGATCAAACACCGCATGTTCTCACTCATAGGCGGGTGTTGAACGATGAGAGCACATGGACAAAGGGAGGGGAGCACTACACACTGGGGTCAGTTGGGGGGACATAGGTAAGGGACAGCGGGGGTGGGGAGCTGGGGGGGGATAGCAGGGGGAGAAATGCCACATGTAGGTGATGGGGAGGAAGGCAGCAAATCACACTGCCATGTGTGTTCCTATGCAACAATTTTGCATGTTCTTCACATGTACCCCAAAACCTAAAATACAATAAAATAAATAAATGGGAAAAAAAAAAAAAGGAAAACTCTCTGTATTGAAAGATTAAGGTTTTTCTCATTGGCATGAGGAATTTTCTTCTTTTCTTTAAACCCTGATTAGATACCATGGGGTCCTATTGAAAATAAACTCATCTCCAATTTTAAAAATGCAAAATTTCCCAGAGGAAAAAAATATGTCAAAAGCAGAGGAGATGAGCCTTCCCTATCCTGCTTCTCAGCACCTGTATTATCTCTTGACTTTATTCTTAAATAGTTGCTAATGGAGCAACAGGACTGTGGGTGGTATAATAATGTCAGAGTATTCCTTATCCATAAGTAATTGGTTAAGAATCAGGATAGGGAAGTATTAAGAGCAGAATTAAGACAAGGAATGATTTTTAGAAATTGCTGGTTTTCTAAGTTCTAAATATTGAGCAATGTCTAGATTTTCTTGTGAATGGTCCTCTTCCACATAAATTTTTTAAAACTAAAGTTTCAAAAAAATTATTAGTTTTACAATGCTAAGGTTTTTACTAACTTACTTAAAATAGATAAAGAATGTTCTTTTCTATTCTGTCAAACATATTCAAAAGTGATAACGTGTGTTGCTAAGATACTGTGGTAAAGGAAGAAGAAATACATTCTTTACATAAACTTAACTTCTTTTCTTAGTCTATCCTTAATTCACTACTGCCCCGTGCTTCAACATCCAAAGAGGTTGATGCTAGTCTACTCTCAGTGGTTTCCTTCCCAGCCTTTGCAGTAGAGGATAGCCAGTTGGTGGAGCTCACAAAACAGGAAATCATCACCAAACTTCAGGTATGTCCATATGTGCCTTTGTTTTCTTTAAGGCTATGACTTTAAGGGTAAATTGTGCCTTTTAGGGCCTTGAATGTGACCTATGACTGTGATTTCAAGAAACCGTTAAGTTTTCTAAGTTGTCTTTTTATAAGTAGTTTCCTTTTAAAATGTTAAAGCTTCTACAGCCATTGCTGGTAGGAACGCAGGGTGGTACACCCACTTTAGAAAATAGTTTGGCAGTTTCTTATAAATTTAATCATACAGCCACCCTATAACCCAACTATGTCATCCTAGAAATCTACCCTACAGAAATGAAAACTTATGCTCACAAAAAATCTGCACACAAATGTTTATAGCAGCTTTATTCATAATTGCCAAAAACTTGAAAAAACCTTCAACAGAGGAAGGAATAAGCAAATTACACTATATTCATGCAGCGGAATACTACTCAACAATAAAAAGGTACAAGGTACCAACTTGATCAGAGTTAATCATGGTGTATAATCTTTTTGATGTGCTGTTGGATTTGTTTTGATAGTATTTTGTTGAGGATTTTTGCATCTCTGTTTATCAGGGATGTTGGCCATGGGTTTCTTGTTGTTCTTGTTGTGTCCCTGTCAGTTTTGGTATCAGGGTACTGCTGGCCTTGTAGTGAGTTTGGAAGAATTCCCTCCCCTTCAATTAATTGGAGTCGTTTAGTTTTAGTTCTTTAAAAGATTGGTGGAACTCAGCAATGAAGCCATCCATCACTGGACTTTTCTTCATTGGAGTACATTTTATTACTGATTCAATCCCATTGCTTGTTATTTGTCTTTTCAAGTTTTCTATTTCTTCTTGGTTCAATCTGGGTGGGTTGTATGTGTCCAGAAATTTAGCTGTTTTCTCTAGGTTTTCCAATTTCTTGGCATATACTTATTGATAATAGTCTCTAATAATCCTTTGTATTTCTATGGTATTAGTTATAATGTCTCTTTTTTGTTTCTGATTATGTTTACTTGGGTCTTTTATTTTTAGTCTGGCTAATGGTTTGTCAATTTTGTTTATTTTAAAAACTTTTCATTTTGTTGATGCTTTGTATTTTTTGGTCTCAATTTCACTTGTTTCTGCTCTGATCTTTGTTATTTTTTTCCTCCTATTAATTTTGGGTTCTGCTTGTTCTTTCCTTGAGGTGCATCATTAGGTTATTTCAAATTTTTCTACTATTTTGATGTAGGCATTTATTGCTATAAACTTCGTCCTTAGTACTGCCTTTGCTGTATCTCACAGGTTTTGGGATGTTACGTTTCCATTTTCATTTATTTCAAGAAATTTTAAAATTTCTTTCTTTTTTTATTGCGTTTTAGGTTTTGGGGTACATGTGAAGAACATGCAAGATTGTTGCATAGGTACACACATGGCAGCGTGATTTGCTGCCTTCCTCCCCTTCACCTATATCTGGCATTTCTCCCCATGCTATCTCTCCCCACCTCCCTACCCCACACCGTCCCTCAAACCATTTCCCCCCAACTGACCCCAGTGTGTGATGCTCCCCTACCTGTGTCCATGTGTTCTCATTGTTCAACACCTGCCTATGAGTGAGAACATGCAGTGTTTGATTTTCTGTTCTTGTTTCAGTTTGCTCATAATGATGGTTTCCAGGTCCATCCATGTCCCTACAAAGGACAATAACTCATCGTTTTTTATGGCTACATAATATTCCATAGTGTATATGTGCCACATTTTCCCTGTCCAGTCTATCATCGATGGGCATTTGGGTTGGTTCCAGGCCTTTGCTATTGTAAACAGTGCTGCAATGAACATTCGTGTGCACGTGTCCTTATAGTAGAATGATTTATAATGCTTTGGATATATACCCAGTAATGGGATTGCTGGGTCAAATGGAATTT